GTGGACGGACTACCTACCTTGTGGGAGGAGTTTTGCTCCATGGTTAACTTCCGTGTCATGTACCTCGGATGGTCATGCTCAGAGCTTGCTGGCTTTAGGTGGCTCTTTGTCACGAGGCCTCAATCTCAGATTTTACATGGGCGTGGGTCACAGCACCAGAGATGAACAGTGAAAAGAGAGATTGAGAGAGACTAACTAGAGGGATGAGTGAGGACTCTTGAGAGGTGCTGACCATGCTTGTTTATGTGTACTTTCTGAGATTATTATGAGTTCTCATTCATCCTTCATTCATTTGATCCTGAGATGAACAAAATCCTGCGTGACAGCCTGTTGGCTTTCCGGTCACCCGAAGTGGACCGACTAGAAAAAGTGCGACAGCGTGTGCGGCTCCTCTAGCCTGCGACTGAGCCCCGGTATCTGTGTCCAGGCCCAATGCAGATGGGGCTCAGACTTTTGTAGTTGCGCCCATCAGCCCAGGGCCGATGTCCAGATTCAGATAGCGGGCCGGTTTCCCATGGTACGCTCGGCCTCTATGACGACAATGCTGCTTTTCGATTGGCCAGTGTCCAAGGTGTGATGTGTCGGCCTCCCCTGGCTTGTGCCCTGGGCTCAACCAGCTGAGGCCCTGGGCTCAACTGCTTCTGCAGGAGTCAGGGCTTCACGATGCACTCCAACCAACTGGCGTGCTACAACTGTCTGATACCCATTTCTCGAAATGTTGAAAGAAAGGCCTCTCGTGGATATTCTGGCCCGCCTTCACTTAGGACGGGCATGAGGCTTGCTGGGGGGCCTTAGCCCAGAACATATGCATGTTGGGAAGGCCCCAATGAGGCCTCAATCCTCACACATGGGAAGGTACAAGGCCGTAATTTGTCTTTTCTACATGTGGTGCGTACATGGGAATGAATCTTCCGCTAGAACATGTGCAGATACATGGGAAAAAAAAAGAGAGAGAGAAATATACACGGTTTGTCGCCCCATCCTCATCTCCTCCTGTTTGTGTTCGTGTTTGTTGTCCTCCCGCTCCTCATCTTTCTCCTCCTCCTCCTGCTCGTCATCCCACCCCGCACCCATCTCCTGGAGGGATGTGTGTATACACTGTGTAGACGAAAGACAAAAAAAAGAGGATGACCAGCCCGCTCTTCCTCCTCCCGTCCCTCCCCTCACTTGTGCTGTGTCCTCTCACTCCTCACCGCGCTCCTTCTCCCGCTTCTCCTCTTGTTCACGTTAGTGCCCCCCCCCCCTCATCCTACCCCACCCTCCTGCTCTCACTCGTTATGTCGTCCTTCCTCCTCCAATCCTTCCTCCCACTCGTGCTGTGTCCTCTCCCTCCTCACCACGCTCCTCCTCCTTTGGCTTCTCCTCTTCTTTGTGTTAGCCATCCTCCCGTTCCTCATCCCACCCCACCTGCCTAGCATGTACTTGTATTCGGACATTAGTACGGTCATCCCCTGCCCGCGCGCGCGAACTTTCACGAAGCGGTGCCGACAAGAAAAACGACCGCGCACCCCAACTGCTACAGGGAAAAAAAAAAAAAAAAAAGACCATCACGGCCCATGGTCCGACGCTCCCCCGGTACCACTCTTGTTCTCGGTCTCCGTTGGGGCCACAGGGGGCCGTTAAGCGGGGACCGGATTTCCCTTGAATAGGATTAGGGAAAAGAAATCCAAGCCTGGTGAACTCACCACAGAAATCATCTGCTTATTGACAGAAGATGCAGCAAGAACCACATGCATCCTGCACAAGTCACCTCACGACGCCGCTGCAGCTGTCTCATTGCTGCTCATCAAGGCTGTAGCATAGAACGAAAGCAAGCTACATATGATCATTGTCCTGAGCACTAGTCGCACATGGACTAGCCTTAGGGACAATTTTGACTTGAACTTTTGTGGGGTGGGTTGCAACAACACACCCAAAAGTTGCAGACAAGGGTTTATAAGTAATCTTTCAAGTCTACAGCACAGATAACCAAAAGGGCATGACCAATATACTGGGCCAAACAAGGCCACACACAGCAACAGTAGTCCTACACAAGGAAAGCAGGAGTCCTGCAATCACATGTAGCTGGCTCTCACCTCACCAGGATCAGGTTCCAGATGACTAAGTGACAGTCATTTGAACACACAACTATTTGTGAGTGAATACGTCCACTGAATGGTTGGTTATGCAAGGTAATCTTGCCAGGAAGAGGAGGCCTGTGTCACTGTGCGGGCACTCGAGATTGATCGAGCAGTCCATTTGCATGCCTGTTTGTCAGGAACCTCAGGCACCTCAGATAACAACCTGCTCAGCACCTTACATGACAAAATTATCAGCTCTTTGAACGACCTGCTGTGTGCTCAGGCAGAGTGTCTCCTTCAGTGTAGAACATTCCCTCACAAAGAGCAATTGACAGCGGCTCAATCAATACAGCAACAGCAGATGTCCATTCCAATCATTTATAACAACCTTGCTAAACAGAATTCCCATCTCCTACTACACGCAATCCTGGGAATACCCTACCTCCAGTTATCAGCCAAGCCGATGCCATCAGCATTTCATCAAGTTTACTGGAAACAAAACATCACAAGGGCATGATGATGTCACCTGTCTCGACGTCATTAAGCATTGGTCAATTGGTGGGGATGACAGTTGTCCGTTTGAAAATGCACGGATTTCCAAGACACTGGACACCAGTGGGCCACATGTCTGACTGCTCATTGCTAGACCCCCCTCCTCCCCTCTTCCCAGCAGCATGTCAAAGTCTCCCAATCTCAAACTGGCTATCTTAAGAATCCTAAACACCCACCCATTCCCATGTATGCAAACCAGATAGCCGATGCTGCCAGCCAACAAATACGACAAGACATCTATGCACAGAGGAGAGGGATGCTGACACATATGCACACACAGAAGCCATTTGGACGGATACTGACGTGCCATTACACCTGTTGTGAGCATTGATAGAGAACAAATTGCACATGCATAATACATGTATCATCATCTTACACGCCCAATTATTGTCATTGGATCACAGATCACCCCCCCACACCCACCCCCCTTCTTTGTAGTGAATTGCCGTGTTACAAAAGAAAACAAAAGAGTGCTTTTAAGGAATTGTTACAAACGATTATTCACCTCTAGTGGCTCACTGATGAAATCCTCACTCTGTTCGCGGCGCATCTCTTTCATTTCTTGAAGGATTCGCTTCACAGCTGGATTTTTCAAATTGAACTGTTGAGATTCTGGTTCTGCCATGTCTTACTTCTCCAACCTTCTGCTGCACAGTTCTCTGTGCAATGCACCGCCAGTCATATTTACACAATGAATCTCAGTTACTATTTGTTATGCCCTCCAAATAAGCAAATGAAAGGGAGAATGTACACAAACAGCTCGCTCAGGTTGAAAATCCCAGATCCAGCCTAGAACGCAGCTGAGTCCAACAGAGGGAAAGAGAGCCCAGGAAACCAGACACAGACAAGGATCACCAAAAACAGGTAACACAACACCTGTCCACATGGAACTCATTAAAGATCTCAGGGAGCCCCTGGACCATCTCAGGAAACAGTGTCTAGGACTCCAGGACGTAGCATGGCAGGATTACAGGTTTTTGGAATCCGCAGTTACCTGGCTTAAATCCTTCCAGTTCAGGAAGTAGTCAATGCGTCTATAGCTCAAAAGTGTGGAAAGCGGAAACACTAGCATATAGAGTTCAGGACTTCAGACAATATAATTTCACATCCTGGCCAATACGGTTGTTCTAGGGCTTCAATGTTTGACTGGCGGCTTCATAGTTAGCTGAAGAGGGACAAATGGCATATATGCATGGAAAGGAGAGGTAAGCAGAGGTAAATACTTCCATCAAGGGACGTAAAGTCACGTAATGAATGTGGTTGTCTCAGGGTTCCTCGGCCATATCAAAGGAAAGCATTGTGTGACTTTTTTAAGTTACTAGGCGGTGGCTGTCCTTTGGGACATCCGTTAAAATTGGAACGATACAGAGAAGATTAGCATGGCCCCTGCACAAGGATGACACGCATAAATCGAGAAATGGTCCAAATTAAAAAA